AACATGCACGTTTCATGTTTTTTGTCTGTGGGGGAAACCAGAGTACCCGGAGAAAACCCAAGCATGCTATTCCATCTTTGTATCCATCCAATTTCTTTACCTGCTGACTCACACCTAGGGACAGTTTAGAGTTACCAATCAGCCTAACATGCACGTTTCATGTTTTTTGTCTGTGGGGTAAACCAGAGTACCCGGAGAAAACCCAAGCATGCTATTCCATCCTTGTATCCATCCAATTTCTTTACCTGCTGACTCACACCTAGGGACAATTTAGAGTAACCAATCAGCCTAACATGCACGTTTCATGTTGTTGTTTTTTTGTTTGTGGGATAAAACCGGAGTACTCGGAGAAAACCCCATGGCTGAGAGACGTACCACTTCACTGAAGTTTGCACAAAGTTTCTCCTGGACTTTGGATCAACCGCTGATCAGCCAAGTTAACAATAGACCCAGCACTGCTGCTCCAGCGCAGAAACTCACCTTACAAAAGATTATAAATCTGTTCACGTGTTTCCCATATTTAGGAATTAGCACTTGCTCTTGAATGTGCTTGTGTAAAACTTGAATAATCTTATCGCTGACATCCTCGTCCTGATATTTGACCACACCTCTCAGCTCTTGGGCGGAGCAGATGTTTGTGAGAACCCGAATCGCCATTTTAGACACTATTTTGGTTCTTTTCAAGTTCACGTAGAAGTCCACAGGCACGATAAGTTTTTGCAGAATTGCAGAAACCAGATCATCCACAAAGCAAGAGCTTTCATCTGTGGGAGTGGTGTATTTGCTGATAGCGCGTACTTTAGTCAAAACTCTCATAACCGTAGCCAACGTGAAGAACCGCAGTGTCTTTACCCATTCTGCTTCTTCAGTCAAAATACTGGATAAACCGTTTCTGCGAATCTCTGAATTCAAGCTACCATCGTCAGAGATTGGCTGTCCGTCATCCAAAGTTGTGTCTGTCTTTGTGAAAATATCATTTTCAGTGAATGATTTTTCAAGATATTCCGAATCCATAATTTCAGAAATCTGGTCTTGTGGATTTGATTCGGAAAATTCATGTCTTGAATTACTTCCAAATGCTGAATTTTCAGAAGGTGTGTCAGTTCCCTTATATTCCCGTCGTCGCTGTGCATAGTATTCTTTGAGATGTATTTCAGCTCTTTCCAAACCATCAGCTTCATTTTTAGCATTCGATAGAAAATCGTTAAATTCATGGATCCGTGCAGTGGTCTCGACTATCTCTTCTGCAATGTCCTGGCTTGAGGTTTTGGACTCAAATGAGTCAGAACTTCTCTTTTGGCTCTGCATTTTGGCAAATGCTTGCTGTCTTTCTCCTGTCTTCTCTCTCGTTTCGTATAAATCTGTTGAAAAATCAGTCCTATATATAACCTTTTCGTGATGATGTCATGTGCATCAAAGGATTTTAATGGCTTTGATACTCACTCATTAGTGATGACATCACTCATTAGTGATGACATCACTGAGTGATGTCATCATAACATTAGTGATGTCAGAGACAGTGATGACATCATTGATGACATTAGTCATGACACAATCAATGATGTCATTACTGCATGTTGAGTCAAAGCAAAACCAAAGGATGAAACCAAGTAGGGCTGCAACAACGAATCGCCAAAAATCCATTATTAAAAGTGTTGGCAACAAATTTCTAGGGCTGAAACAATTCCTCGAATCATTCAAGGACCTCCATTACAAAAAATCCTCGAGGCAAATTTATCTGCCTCGAAGCTTCGTTAAACTGTTCACTTTCATTTTTCTAGCCGGACGGTTTTTGTGTTACACAACGCTAGCACTTCCGCTAGCGCTTCTGCCTGTCGCGCGCATGTGTTTACAGCTATGGAGGGAAACTGAGAACAGCCCAGAAAACGACAGAAACTATCCAAAGTTTGGGAACATTTTAAATTAAACAGAAAAAATAACAGCGCAATGCATCCACTGCAAAGCCGAACTCTCATTCCACAACAGCACGTCATCGATGTTGCAGCATCTGAAAACTCCCGCTGTATGAATCAAACTCGTCCGCAGCTGGGAACAGGTATCATTTATGCTCTCTTTGCAAAATACGTGAACCTAAATGTATGATAATCTGTCATGTTAGTCATGTAAAATGAGGCATATTTTTGCTAACATAACGTTACACTACATCTACCTGGCAGGGTAGCTTGTGTGAGAAAGAAAGAAAGAAAAAAAAAAACCACGCAGGACTTGATGCACGTTTGTTAACGATAGAAGCAGCAACAGACTGACGCATTTATTTATTGCTGTACTTCCATCCTGACTCTAATGAGATATTTAGGGTGAATATTTCAAGTGTAAATGTATTTACACAAGGTAGTAGGATTTATTATTTTCTTGCTACTGCTGTTTATTACTTGAAAACTGGGAGTAATCTACATTTATTACTACTGTTGTCATATTTGTGTATAGCTAAGCAAACAAGACAAATAATAGTCTTAATAAAAAAAAGCAAAGTATTTTTAACATTTACAATTACAAGTTAATTCTGCAGAACTCAAATGTACAAACTTTTACATTATCTATCTTACTTAATTTCTAACATATAAAGATTCCGTTCAGTTTTCCAATCCATAAAAATTATTTTACAGCATTTAGATTTTAGAACACACATAAATAAAAACATTTTAATTTTATCCATTTAGATTAATGGTTAAAAATAATTCAGTGACAGAGGGTTTTAATTAAAGCATCCTCAAACATGAATAAAAGCTTAAAATGCATAAATCAAATACAACTGACACTAATGTTACTTTGATTGCAGCAGGTCATCAAAGTGTAGATTACTTAACAATATTATATAATTTTATAATATCCAATGAAGTACATTTGAAATTGTATTAAGGCATAGCTATGAACAAACAAATAATAATTTTATTGTACTTCTTTTCAGTAAATCGCAGAGTCACACATTGGACAGGTTTGTGCAAAGGGCACCAGGATGTTCAGTTCTGAAAGCAGCAGACTTCACCAACAGCATTTTAAAGATGATCATCACGGACATGCGGCCGCTGTCTGTGGTGGAAGATGAAGGCTTTCAGAAAATGATCTCAACCTTCAATCCAAATTACGTCCTTCCCTCCAGATCCTACTTTATAAAAATGGTGGAGAAAAAGTATGAAGAAATCACAGACAAGCTGAAAAACACAACTCCTTTAAAGACTTGAGCAACGGTCGAACACATACACACTTGTATGTTGAGACATTTAAGAAAGGCTTATTGATGCTACTTGCAAGAATACGTTCAGTATATGTTGGCTTTGAAAAATAAAATCTTTCATTTTACCCTGTATTCATCCACTCACCTGCTCACACAGACTCATGTTCGTACTGCTGCTGTTCAGTTTTGGTACTATTAGTAATTAGTGCATTCTTAGTTTAGTGTATTTCTTAGTTATCTTAGATCTTATTATTGTTTTTCTTTACATTTTATACTTTTGTTGGATGTAACTTACCCTGTGTACACAGTTTCGTTCCACCACGTGCACCAAATATGTAAATGACAATAGAAACTTTGATCCTTGAAAACGCACAAGTGGATTTTGTTATAGCTCAGACTTTCAAGTTGAATTTATAAAGGGCAGTGTTTACCGTTTTTGCTTTAATTTGTTTTCTATTTCATGTTAATGTACTTTTTTCACTTCTGTGTTTTTACATTTTAGAAATAAGGAAGTTTTGCTACACTTCAGAGAAATGGAGGTTCAACATGTAATTACATTTTAAAATAAAATATTTTAAAAAGAGGAATTAAATGGATTATTTACTTAATGTTCTTTTTCGTGTATTTAAATGAGTGATTACTGCAGAACCTGACAAATTTTGTTTTCGATTACTCGATTAATCACAATAATATTCTATAGATTCCTCGATTACTAAAATATTCGTTTACAACAGCCCTAATATATATTATATATATATATATATACACATTTATATATATATAAATGTGTATATATATCACTCTGGTCTCAAGATTTTGGAAACTTTTTAAAGTCACTCAGCTGATCTCAAAGGGAATTGTCTTCCTGCTGAACATTTTAGGATTTCTGCGACAAAGTTTCGATCAAAGTACATGACGTACAATCTTATCATCTGCAATACAATCCCAGGTGTAATGAATGAATCTCTTATGTGATAATTTGTAAATCATTACAAATGCTAAACGCTTTTTGTCAAACACTTAGAATAACTTGACTTTTGTGAACTGAAAATTGCATGCAGAGTTTTTGTTCTGCAAATTTAGTATTTACAGCAATAAATTGATTAAATTAAACTACATTGGTTATGGACTTGGACAGCACAGTGGCGCAGTTGGTTGATCTACTACCTCTCGGCGAGAAGGTTGCTGGATTGAATCCTCACTGGGTTGAGTTTGCATGTTCTCTCTGTGCATGAGTGGGTTTTCTCCAGGTACCCTGGTTTCCTCCCACAGACCAAAATATGCATGTCGGGGACAATATAGTTACTAATTATTCTAAGTGAGAGAGTGAATGGTTGTTGGTCTCATTTGTCTCTGTGGACCTGTGATGGACTAGAGACCTGTTCAGGGTGTACCCCGCCTCTTTCATACTGACTGCTGGATATGGGCACCAGTGACTCCTGTGACCCCAAAAAAGAAGCAGTTAACGATAATGGATGGATGGTTGGTTATGGACTTTAGCAAGAAAATAATTAATCATTTAACATAAGAAGGTTAATTATTGGTGTGTGTCTGTATAGATCTTTGGTTTAGCAATTGTTTCTGTTTAATATTTCCATTCAGAAAAAGGGGAAAGTATCAAGTTTCTGGAGGATGAGGGAGTACTGCGCATGTCCAGTGTTAACTTTCATGCTGCCTTTTTAAAAAGTAGTTTTTTTTTATTGGAAAAAATAATTGCGACGTTAACCAAATACAATATATACCATCAGTATTTTGTATCTATAAATGCATATTTCTTTCGAAACTGAATGACACGTTTTAATAAAAATTAGAGTAGCTTAAATGTTTTACTCCGCCATTTTTCTTTGCGCTGGTGTAACGGTTGTTACGGATACCTCTTCTTTACGAGGTGTACGTGAAAGCATCATAAGGAGCTCCTGAAAAGTCATTCATCGTGACAGCCAGTTATTAAGCTAGCTGCCTTCTTCACGCCTTTAACAAGGACAAGTGATATCTTAAGAGTTGTAATTTAACTCGAACACGTATAACATTATATATAGGCTTAACTTAATATCAGCAGGTGAATATTTTTGAGTTGAAGAACACGCTTCTGTGAGGTATAGTGGGAACTAACGTTTCGCGTTATGGGAAAAACACGGAGCTCATGCGATCGTTGGACTGTCAACAACAATCTGCTGAACGACTTTGCTACCACGCTGATGGCTGTCTAATTCTTCTGTCACAGGGGTAAGGGTATCATCGTTTACAGTAGAGGCATGGAGATTATTTAGCTACGACATAGGTAGTTAGTCTACAGGGAGGGCTGTAAAAACATGGCCGAGCAGGTAAGCTAACGAGATTGTGACTGCAATGCAGTGGCTTTGATGTTAGCATTTTTCGCTAACAATTTTGTTAACCGATAGGCGCTTTCGTGTTCATTTAACGGCAGTTTAACATGGCGCCTTTGAGTTGGGAAGCTATTTAAAGTTAAGATACGCAGTTTAGTTTATATAAATTAGCCTATTTTCTTGAGAACTTGTAAATTGACGACGAAGCTCTGGGTGTAAACACTGTCAGCAGAGCATGCATCAGGATACTGTCAGCAGAGTTACGCCTCTTGTCATGTGGATAACCTCAGGTGTTTTGTATTTTTATTTATGTTTGCAGATCATCTTAAGTCATGCCTGGGAAACTGAAGGCCAAAATAGTGGCAGGGCGCCACTTGCCTGTCATGGACAGAGCCAGCGACCTAACGGATGCCTTTGTGGAGGTAAGAGAAGATGGGATTAAAAAATAAATAAGTCACAATATCCAATACTGTAACAACCTTTTGATGATCAGAATCACACATGCATGAATACACATACACAGTTAGGTAATAATGAGAGTACAACTTTCTGCAGATCTTTTAAGGTCTATTTTTTCTTGGTTAAAAGATGTAGGATGCTCAATAGTTGAAGACTCGTGTTGGGTTTCTGTGTTTAAAATTATTATACCAAAACGTCTTAAGAGGCTGGATTTTACGCAGCTATTTTAGGATGTAAAAACGTTTTATTGAGGGTCTTCTGCTGTTAATGATATGTTTATTTGTCATATGTATGTTAACACGAGGTCAACAATGCAATGAAATGTTCAGGATGAGAAGAACCGATTTGACTCACTAAAACCAAAAAAATAAACAACCATTACTAAAGCATGCAATAAAGGTACAAAATAAAGTACCAAAAAGTAAAAAAGAAATATAATATTTTCAAGGTCCTAAAGAAATACAGTAAATAACAACATGGTAGAATATAACGGTGCAAGCAGGATGAATTTGTATGAATAATTATTTCAAGCTAGTAATATAAGCTTAAATGCACATGATATATATTGAACACAACATATACTGCACAGGTTGTGTGACAGGTTATTGCACAGGTGGTGAGTAACATTGAGATTAATTGAATTATGATGGTAAGGTAGTGACATACATGATTTATGGCATATATGGCATGAGACATGACACGCATTACATATACACGATACAGCCACGTAGTGTAGCAGCAATAAACTTGTCACAGATGTGGCCTAGTGCAATATTATTGTCAATTGTTCAGTATTATTATCAATAGTTTAGTAATCTGACAGCTTGTAGATTAGCCGTCTTCAATATTGAAATTAACAAGGTCTTAAGGGAACAAGAGTCAATTCTTGTGACTTGGTAATTGTAGATAGATTCTTGGAACAAAAAGTCTTGACCAGAATATTGTTTGTTTTTGAAAACTTTTTCAATATTTTCACTCTATTTTCAGTATTTGACACTGAATCTTTACGTTTGTTTATTTAGTAAATTATGTTTTTTAAAAGGGGCACATTTTGACATTTTATTTCCCAGGTCAAGTTTGGAAACATGACCTTCAAAACTGATGTTTGTCCAAAGTCTCTTAACCCACAGTGGAACTCGGAGTGGTTCAAGTTTGAGGTAAAATTAACTTTTTTCTTCCTTCCTTTTCCCAGGAATGTTGGTAGTCTCATTTAGCAGATATGAAAATGTAGACAAATTAAATTCACAGTCAGAATTTTTAAATTCACAAGATTCCAACTTGATAATGTCCACATTATTGTTGTTCCCTTTTGATATTTTTCCCTCTTCACTAATAAATGCTGTCCAGGTTGATGATGAGGACCTGCAGGATGAGCCGTTGCAGATCACAGTGTTGGACCACGATACTTACAGCGCCAACGATGCAATAGGAAAAGTTTATATTGACATAGATCCATTACTATGTTCTGAAGCTGCCTCTGTCATCTCTGGCTGGTTTCCTATCTACGATACCATCCACGGTACAAGACTCAGCTTGCATGAGTTTCATAATTAAAACTTTCTTGGGTTTTACTGTTTATTTTTATTTTTTTCATAAGGCATCCGAGGAGAGATCAATGTACTTGTGAAAGTGGAGCTCTTCAACGATTTGAACCGTTTCAGACAGTCATCATGTGGAGTCAAGTTTTTCTGCAGTATGTCTGATAAAACCTTATCTAACATATTTCAGTTACACAAAAACAATGTACAGAAATAAGAAGTTAGTAAGAAATATACAGAAGGTGTTAAACATGAAGATACTCTGTAATGTGTTTGGTTCAGCTTTGAGTATACTAACAGGAAATATAATGTCTTGGTACTATCTACATCTGTAAACAAGAATCTGACTGTTTTAAAACTATGCTAAAAATTGAATTGGAGCTACAGGGAGAGGTTTTCTAATGCAGTTTAAACTTTTTTCACTTTTTGTGGCGGTTGTCTTAATTACACCTGCAGCCACATCGATTCCACGTGGTTACCGAGCTGCGATGGTACATGGGTTTGTAGAGGAACTGGTAGTGAATGAAGACCCAGAGTACCAGTGGATAGACCGTATTAGAACTCCACGGGCTTCGAACGAAGCTCGTCAGAGACTCATCTCTCTTATGTCTGGTGAGAACACTAATACTCATCATCTTTTTATCCAAGCTGTTTTTTTTTGTTTTTTTTTTCTTGTTTAATATGGTTGTATTAATATGGTTGTATGACACTCCTTGTTCAGGAGAACTGCAGAGGAAAATAGGGCTTAAAGTCCTGGAGATGGGTGGAAATGCAGTGGTGGGCTACTTGCAGTGTTTTGACCTGGAGGGAGAGTCGGGCCTGGTGGTCCGGGCTATAGGTACTGCCTGCACTCTGGAAAAACTTGGCTCTGGAAGCGCCCCGATTTGCTGCCTGCACCCTAACACAGCTCCTGCTTCGAACGCCTGCAACTCCCCTTCTAAAGATGGAAAGGAGTGAGTATGAACCAAAAACACCAGCATGGACTTTTAGCTCTGTTTGTGTGAAAATAAGTTTGTGAGATTGGGGAGGAGCAGTGTGTGCATGAGAGGGAGAGCGTGTGGACAAAATGTACTTTATGTGATTTGTGTAACTCAGCCATCACCCTTGTGTGTGTCTCAGTGTCCAGGATTTTTCATTATGGTGTATGCCTGTTGTATATTGTGTATTGCAGCATGAAACTAACAACACACAACATAACCTGAGACACACACATGTATAGAACACACACAGCCATCATCAGCTCCTCTCCCTCTTGCCTTGTTTGCTCCTTTAAACTGCTCTTTTATGGCTTTCGTCACTGCCTCTGCATGTTGTGTTATAATGAGTATCCAGCATGTCTTCTACTCTGCTTCTAATATTTTCCTTTTTTTGTTGCTCCAACCCTACGTGGCTGATTAGTGATATTTGATCCAAGTTCTGTTAGCATAACTGCAATTTAGTGCATGTTAGCTTCTGATTGTTCTGTACTCGTAAATGCCTGTAACAGGGATAAAAACAATATTCCCCCCTCCCCCCCGCGCATACACATACACACACACACATCTATCGATCTATCCATCTATCCATCTATCGATCAATCCATCTATCTCATCTATCCATCTATCTCTCTATCTCTATCTCTTTCTCTATCTATCTCTTTCTCTCTCCCCCTCTATATATCTCTATATATATAAAAGCCTGTCGCAATAAACAATAACTCAATTAATCTCATGATAAATGAAAATTATCAACCTCATTTTCATTTATCGGCGTTATCATTTCTTTATGTCTCTCTTTCTGCTGAAGACACTGGATGACAAAAGCTCAACTCCGGTGCTCTTCTGACCCTTCCCTTTCTCTTTAAAATCTATTTTAACCATCTAAAATCGTGTTTTTGGACCGTTAAAAGCAGCTAAGCTGAGAAGCTAAGCTAGGAACTAAGCTAACAGGCCAATCTCAGGAAAAACCCTCCATCTTGTTGAAGCTCCAAAAAATCACGGTTGAAATCCGTGCCTTCGTGTAAAAAGTTGTATTTCTCTGCAAAAAAAAGCTGAGAACTTGTTTATAAAGAAATGAAAAACAATGTGTGAAAAATGCTATACTAACAAGTTCAAACCACACTGAGCGTCTTCCCAAGAAAGGACGGAGAGACAGCCCATGTCACGTCAAGGGACCTCCCTCCCATTTTTCTTAAACAGACATGCTGCTCGCACCCTTACTATTCATCCTTCGGTTCAAACTGTCTTATACTGCCATCCGATGGTCGAAAAAAGGTACTTGATGCAAAACAAGTTAAACATTTATTGTCAAATTTCAAACAATATCGCTTATTGCAATCATTTCTGAGACAATTAATCACCCAGCAAAATTTGTTATCGTGACAGGCGTGTGTGTGCATGCATGCATGTATGGATGGATGTATGGATGGATGGATGGATGGATGGATAGAGGTCCTTCTAAAAAAATTAGCATATTGTGATAAAGGTCATTATTTTTCATAATGTAATGATAAAAATGAAACTTTCATATATTTCAGATTCATTGCACACCAACTGAAATATTTCAGGTCTTTAATTGTTTTAATACTGATGATTATGGCATACAGCTCATGAAAACCCAAAATGCCTGTCCCAAAAAATTAGCATATCATGAAAAGGTTCTCTAAACAATCTATTAACCTAACCATCTGAATCAACGACGTAACTCTAAACACCTGCAAAAGATTCCTGAGGCTTTTAAAAACTCCCAGCCTTGTTCATTACTCAAAACCGCAATCATGGGTAAGACTGCCGACCTGACTGCTGTCCAGAAGGCCATCATTGACACCCTCAAGCAAGAGGGTAAGACACAGAAAGAAATTGCTGAACGAATAGGCTGTTCCCAGAGTGCTGTATCAAGGCACCTCAGTGGGAAGTCTGTGGGAAGGGAAAAGTGTGGCAGAAAACGCTGCACAACGAGAAGAGGTGACCGGACCCTGAGGAGGATTGTGGAGAAGGGCCGATTCCAGACCTTGGGGGACCTGCGGAAGCAGTGGACTGAGTCTGGAGTAGAAACATCCAGAGCCACCGTGCACAGGCGTGTGCAGGAAATGGGCTACAGGTGCCGCATTCCCCAGGTCAAGCCACT